GATCATATAAAGCACGACTTGTGAATATAAAGAGTAAATAAGGTGTTGTGATCTACAGTAATGAGTATGATTGATTGCATGTTGTTTTACAGTGATCTACAGTACATGTATTTCAATGTGTAATAATGGCTTTTATAAACTTTTCTTAATTCAGGGAGAGAATTATCCCCAAAAGAATCAATGTGAGAATTGAGCATGTAAAGCACTCCAACTGCCGACTGGAATTCTTGAAACGAGTCGCCAACAATGAGCAACTGAAAAAGCAGGCCAAGGAGGGAGGCGAGAGGAAAAACCTCAAAAGATTTGTAAGTTATTCCCCTTGATCACATTTCTAAGATAAAGTCGATGATGAACTCTATTTATGCTGTTCACATTCTGAATGCTTGTGGAGATATTCTTTTCTGAGACTTCTGATTTGGAATGACAAATTTATAAATGAATGTAATATTGTTTTCATACATTGAGTTTCAGTTTGTGTGATGTCTTTACTTTCAGCCACAGAAACCTAGGAAGAAGCACTTTGTCAGCACAAAGTTTAACAAGCCAGAGGTGTTGGAGCCTATACCTTATGAATTCATTGCATAAATTAAAGTGTTGACAAGACATTTCAGTATTTCTTATATCTGAGTCATATTTTGAGATGTACTGTTATAAATGTAATGGAGAGTAACATTATAGCAATATGGCAGTTTATCTCTCCCCCCCCCCCCCTCCCCCCTCCATATTCAAGGAATGCTTTTCAGGAAATTATTTATCCAGTGTTTCCTATATTGTTAAAGAATATAACAGTACCCCATTTACATGTTGGTTGGCATTAAGAATATATTAAACCTAATTTCCTGCAGTAGTGCAGTACATCCAATATTTTTTGGAATAATTTGAAAAGGTTACTTGAAGGACAGATGATAAAAAAAATCATGCCTAGATTGGTATTATTTTAAATGCCAGTTTTAGTTGTAAATGATGCAAGTCATAATTTTTAAAATATTAAGAAATTATGTTTCTAGGATTTTCAACATTTTACATTTTTTAATAATCCTTATTTATCCGTACAATTAATTTTTTTCACTTTAAAAATTTTGAACAAAAGTTTAAAATCTGTGCAGATTTATTTTTTTCCATTTTGCTTTATATAAACATGAATTGTTATTTTCATAGTATTAGTTTAAAATCTGTGCAGATTTATTTTTTCCATTTTGCTTATATAAACATGAGTTATTTTCATAGTATTTGATAAAAGTTTGTGTTATTTGTCCTTAGGTGAAACCGAGCATCTGAAGCAAGTCTGATAGTGTAAGTCCCTGTACACATCATTGGTGAAAGTGTGGATACAATTGTTAAATTATGGGAATTTACTTTCACTAAAAAAATTACCTAGTCATTCATTCCAAAGATGATCAAGTTCACGTCTAGCTGCAGATCTTGCTTGCTGGTCTGCATGAAAAATTAGGATGGGCAAACTTAGAGCTACAGTGCCACACAATGATAAAAGGCTAAGTGTTATAGTATGTTTATTGCGCAACAAAAAGTGCTTGGTTTCTCAAATAATTTCTCTTTATATATCAAAATACTACTAACCATGTGTTCCCAACATATTTTCTTACCACTTTCACAAAAAAGCTTTATGTCAAGTCAAGTCATGTAGGAAGCCAGCTAGACCGAATTGTCTTGACTCTTAACACTAAAATGGCTGTATAAATGTTTGAGTAGTGGAAATAGTAAAAAATATGTTAGGAATGCACAGTTTGTTATATTTTGGGATGACATCTTAAATATAGGGAGAAATAAATCCAGAAACGGCACACTTTTTTGTGCGCAATAAATTTACTCAAGTGAGCTTTTCTGATCACCCATTGTCCGTGCGTCTGTAAACTTTTCACATTTTCTCAAGAACCAGTAGGCCAATTTTGACCAAACTTGGTACAAAGCATCACTGGGTGAAGGGAAGTTTAAATTGTTAAAATAAAGGGATAAGTCCCCTTCCGAGGGGAGCTAATCAAGAAACTACAAAAATAGGGTAGGGTCATTAAAAAATCTCCTCAAGAGCCACTTGGCCAGAAAAGCAAAAACTTTTGTGGAAGTATCGTGGGGTAGTGTAGATTCTAAATTGCTTGAATCATGACACATGGGGATTGGGCAAGGTCAAGATAGGTATTACAAGTGGGAAATCTGTTAAATAAGAAATGGCTGAAGTTTACTTAGTGAGCGATGTGGCACATGGGCCTCGTTTCATCCATCCTAATTTTTTCACGCATGCTGTGTTGTACATTGTTTTGTAAATATTTCATGCTTATATCCTCTATATGCTGTTTTTACACTTTAAGTTTCATAAACCCTCTGCTTGAACCTTAATGATTTTCCAAAAGAAATGTAAGTAAAATACAAACAATTATAGCATAGCTTGCGAGACAAAATTGGGCAAGAAAAAGACACTTCAACTTGTCAAATTTATATTTAGGAATACAAGCAAATTCAAAGAATTGTGGTCCCCCGCTTTCGGTGTCTTTGTGGGTGAGATGTCAAATATGAACGCCCTATCATAGGTCATTTAGAAATTATCAAAGTTGAATTTTTAAAAGGCCAAGGTCAGGGAGTCAGAAATCATAGCATGCATGGAAATATCTTGTCATATGTAATACACATGTCAAATATGAAAGCCCTATCTCTTCTCAATCAAAAGTTAAAAGGAACAAAATGCGTTTGTGAAACATTGATGACCCCGTATGGCAACAAAGGGAAGATTAAACTTTTTTAAAATGTAAATTAAATATATTGGTACTCAAATTTTAAAAAGTAGGTCAAACTGCAAGGTCAAGGTAAAAGGGTCAAAGTTCTTGGTATCCAGTGAAAGGTCTTCTCACAAGGATTACTAATGTGAAGTATGAAAGCCCTGGCCCCTACCATTCAAAAGTTATGGCCAAGGTTAAATCTTTCAAAAAGTAGGTCAAACTCCAAGATCAAGGTCAAAGGGTGTAAGTGCTTGATATCAAATGAAAGGTCTTGTCACAAGGATTAAATATTTGAGGTATGAAAACCCTAGCCCTAACCCTTCATAAAAGTTATGGCCAAGGTTAAATTTTTTAAAAGTGGGCCAAACTTCAAGGTCAGAGTCAGAAGATCAAAGTTCTTGTTATCCCATGAAAGGATTTTTCACAAGGATTACATACCTGAAGTTTGAAAGCTCTAGCCCTTACTGTTTTAAAGTTATGGCCAAGGTTAAAGATTTTTCATAAGTACGGAAATCTCCAAGGTCAAGGTCAAAAGGTCAAAGTCTTTGATATCCAATGAAAGGTCTTGCCACAAACAATACATATGTGAAATATAAAAGTCCTAGTATCTACCGTTCAAAAGTTATGCCCAAAATAAAAAAAATAAAACTTTTGTGTAAAAGTATGTCAAACTCCAAGGTCAAGGTCAAAAGGTCAAATTTGGTGGTACCCAAAGAAAGGTCTTGTCACAAGGAATACACATGTGAAATATGAAAGTCATAGGTCCACTCAATCAAAATTTATGGGCAAGGTTAAAGTTTTTGTGACGGACGGACGGACAGACAGACAGACGAATGAGATTTAATGTCCCCTCGCTTTCGCGAAAGCAGGGGACAAAAAGACATTTATGTCATTAAGAGTGATCTCTCTTATCAGAGTATCAATGAACCTTAAGAGAATAAACTATTGAATTGTTTCTTTAAACTCATCTGTATCCCCAAAAGTTTCCACACAAATAAGAAACATTAGAAAACAGTTAACAATTTATTATAAAGTAATTGCACATATTATCACATCTGACAGCTTATTTTACCAATAAAACAGATATAAAACTAGTATGTAAGAAATTCCACATAACTAATTATCTTTCATCATTTCAGGTATTAATAAATAGCACCATTGATATTAATTTGTTCTGAAGCTTAATCCTGATTGAAAAAAAAAGATTTTGTAAGGAATTTAATTTAAAAAAAAAAAACCCAACAACACACATTTTACAAAATAATAAAAACTGATGCTTCCAGAAATTAGTTTCTTCCATTCCAGAGTTAAAGTAATATATTAATCTCATAAATAATAAAAATGTTACAAAGTAATTTTATTCCTTTAAATTTCAGAAATATTTGTACTTGTTGTAAATTAAAACAAAATGATAGGTTAATTACAAAGGAACTTCACCATGTAAAATACATGAAGATTACAACCTTTTTACAGAATTGTTCTCAAAACATAAAAATTTAACAATTAGACTTAAAACATGCCTGAGCTATACCGTTAAAAAAATTGATCACTTTCAAACCTGGGATTCCTTTTAATTTTACACTATTTACATTTAATAACAATTTATTCTCTTTCTCTGAAATATTTGAGTAATGTGAGCAAAGACGTAATAGATTTCAGGAGGATAAAACGTACGCTCATCTAGGACATTTGTATGTATAAAATTCCCCACAAATGACTAGTTATCAGCTATGAAAATAACAGTAACACTCATCAGTTTAGCACTTATTAATGGAATCAAGTGGAAATTCTATCATTAAAAGTACAAAATAATGCCTATAAAACCAGAAAACCTTGTATTTATCTGGTTAGATAGCTTCCCTCTCTGATCACAGCACTTGTAATGATCTACAGTATAAAAGGTAGGCCTCACGACATACTGCTCAGATTACCGCTCTGCTTTAAGTCTTATCACTTATAAAAATATGTTTCCCATATATTTTACATGTACACATATTACAATATAATATATTTTCCTTCCACATAGAGTTTGTTTTATAAAGACAAGTTTTAACGAGGTAATGAGCAAAACAATTACACTTTATACAAGTCCATGTAGTCACATACTGAAACAAATAGAGAGAACCCCTTGTTAAATAAATCAGAAAAGTACTTTATGTGAAAAGTCAAAACACATGTCAACAAAGACTATTCCTGATTGATATTTTTTTCTCATCAAGACTTTGGGGATAGTTCATTTAAGTCTGTAGACTTTAGGGATCATCCCTGTACATTTCCATAAGTCCCGTTTGGTGGTCTGTAGAGTTTTGGAACATAAAGAAGCTGGAAACTATTAAATGCATATTTCCTAGAACCAATGTTTTTATATGTGTTTTCTCTTCTTACTCCCTCACTGAAAAAAAAAATCAAAATCGATAATTATAAATTTCAGTATAAAATATTCACAATCATAATTATCATAAATTTTAAAAGTTTAATTTCATAAAGTTATCTTGCATTGTATGCAAAAAACACACCAGATGCCAAAACTGACATCTGGACTGCACTTCGGGTGGTAATGATGTGAATGATTAACAGATGATGTGCAGTAAATGTACTATACCTTCTAAAACAGTCCAGGGACTGTGAGAAGACGTGTGAAGCCAGATCATGCTCCTGTTGAAGTATGTACACCTGCTCTAATGTTACACTCATAGATGTTGTTCCTTATATTCCCATATCATGATTTATTCCAGTTATTTGCCCGTTTTGATAGTAGATAGAGCAAGGTGTGAACAAGTAATCACTGTAATCTTTACTGTTAGTGTAATAGAAGCAGTGAAATTTAATTACACACATTCAGAAAAAATAAAAACGTGTGGCAAATCTAATAACATGATATTGTAAAAGTGATTAAAATGTCAATAATCATTTCAGCTTGTGTTATTATTGTTCATTTATTGTTATGAAACAGTTTTCACTGATAGCCTGGTTAATTACGGCTAATTATGGCAATTTCATAGCTCTGTGCCAACCATTTATAATAATTGCCCCTTGGCCGTGTAGAAACTGTTAAATGCGTCGAATGCTAATTACCCAAATAGTATGAGGCACTTTTACAATTGAGAGTTTTAAATCAATTTTAATCTCCTAGATTTTATGATTTGGTTTTATTGTTAAAAACAACAACAACAAGTATATTCATGGTAAACATTTTACCTACTTTATGGGCGGTTATAAGATTTTAAATTTTTTTAATGCACAAATGTTTTGAATAATGCGTAAATACCTCTGCTACCATTTTACCTAGTTTATAAGCGGATATGAATTTTTATTTGATTAAAAAATACTCGTGGAAATAAAAATAATGTGACCACTCGTTCCTTTATCTGAAATATGAAAATCGTCGCGGATAGGTTCAATCTGGTAGTTGGTTTAGAAATAAAAAATGAAATGTATAATAATTGGTTTACAGTATACCTTCTAAAACAGTCCAGTGACTGTGAGAAGACGTGTGAAGCCAGATCATGCTCCTGTTGAAGTATGTACACCTGCTCTAATGTTACACTCATAGATGTCCTATCCTTAGCACTCTTACAACTGATGATGCGTATCCCATTTATCTTCCTGCAGATCTGATAGTAGATAGAGCAAGGTGTGAGTGAAGTATATCTACTGTAATCTTATTGGATTTTAATACTACAGTGAAACCTGTCTAATCTGACATCTACTGGGAGATGAATTTGTGTTGGAGTAGACAAGGTGTTGGATTACAAAGAGTAAAATAACATGAATATTAGTAAAATGGGAAGGAAAATTTACGTCAGAATTTACATTGTAAGGATCCGGATTGCACATTTTTCAGATTAAACAGTTTTCACTGTACTAGTAGTTTTCACTGTACTAGTATGTACATGTATTACAATTTCATAGATAGTATGTGTTTTCAGAGCAAATAAGAGATTGTACTGAAGTCTTACCAAACTGTTAAATGGTGAAGAATGCTAAACATTTCAAATCAGGGCAAACATTAACATGGGGAATTTGATTAAATTTCAACTTTGAGCAGTGCATGCAGGATTATATGATTTGGTTTTATTTTCAAAAACAACAACAACAGAAGGTCCTATAATTAAAAGTGCCCTAATCTATGTGGATATAAGATCTTGAATTTTTTTTATAGAAAATAATGAAATGTGTAAATACCTCTGCCGCCAGTTTCAGAACATCTGTATTTTTGCTCTTTTTGGCATTAACATTGTAATGCAGTTTGTTTCTCAAGTCATTTATTGTACCCTGACCTAACTTTCCTTTATCTGAAATATGAAAATAACATTTTAAAGATTCAATCTGGTAGTTGGTTTAGAAATAACAAAGAAAATGAAATAATTATTTAAATTTTTTGAATTGAAGAAAATTCACAAAATAACATCCACATAAAATGTATTAAGTGAAAAAAAAATTAGCATTTGACACATCAACACTTAATTATTTTCAAAAATGAAACATGAGTTGGTAAACAAAACTCATTAAAGTTATCTCAAATTTTTTTTTTCAGTTACAGATCCTGGAAATGGAAAATTTTGTATGTGTATAGACAGAGAAGAAAATTACCTAAACTCCCAAGTTTCTTTTCATAGCTGTCTAGATAATCATTCACTTTGGTAACATTTTCAACATTGATTCTTTCTTGCAGTGATGTATCACCAATTCTAAAAACAAGCCATACAAAAAAATCAAACTTAGATAAAAACTGACTAAAAATAAATTGTAAAAAACAACTTAATTTCATTGGTCTGTACACTTACATGTACAGTATCTGCTGATGTTATTGTCCATTGATATAACAGGAGTTTCCTGGTTTTTGATTTATATTTTGATGAGGTTTTTTGCATATGGTTACATAAAATGCCTGGGTATTGGAGTTTCAAAGTTCTTACGTGTCTACTAATGTGGCCTGCTCATTGGTGTGATTTTGAGTTCTTACTTGTGTGCTCATGAGGCCTGCTCATTGATGTGAAATTAAGTGTCTGAGTTCTTAGTTGTCTACTAATGTGGCCTGCTCATTAATGTGAAACTAAGTGACTGAGTTCTTAGTTGTCTACTAATGTGGCCTGCTCATTGATGTGAAACTAAGTGTCTGAGTTCTTACTTGTCTGCTAACAAGGCCTGCTCATTGATGTGACACTAAGTGTCTGAGTTCTTACTTGTCTACCAGTGAGGCCTGCTCATTATTGTGACACTATGTGTCCGAGTTCTTACTTGTCTCTTAGTGAGGCTTGCTCATTGATGTGACACTAAGTGTCTGAGTTCTTACTTGTCTGCCAATGAGGCCTGCTCATTGATACCAATGTTGAAGATGACAGGGGTGACGGTCACTTTGCCTCCTCGCTGTAACTCTATTGGTAGTTTGTCAAACATCTCATCCTGAAGGGGAATGTGTACACTGACACAGTGTCTGAAAATCAAAGTTTACAATTCAGAAGGAGGTACAAAGTACCTCAGAATATATCATTTGTTTGATCACGTTATTACATTTATCAAAACTTCAAAAGTGTTCAGCTGAATTTATTACAAAAATCAATGTTATCAAATTTTAAGCAAAATTAATAAAAATTATATATGAGGATAAAATCTTTGGAACATTTCATTAAAAACAATACAATTCAATGAACTTATTTCCAAAAATGATTACAAGAAGTCCATCTAAATACATTTATAGTCTGAGTTACCTGTGAAAATCTCCATAAACACCACTCTTGAAATGGCTGAAAAAGACATACAGTGTGCAATACAATATCAAGCTATTCTGTGAGGTTGTATATCATATAATGAACAAAAATACATAGTCTTGGCAAGGCATTAGGGGAAAGAACAATAACAGACATTTATGACTGATGTTCAATCCATTTCAGGATATAAAAAAAAATATTTTTTTAAACAGGGGTCACCCTGTCAAAGACATCTTTTTATGCATTTTGGAGGCACTTTCACCTTTCTTCCTTCCTTTCCTTTTGTCATCTTTGTTGAATATTTATCTTTCTTATGACACATAGATTAAGAGCATGCCTTTTAAGTAAAATTTGTACTGGCCAAATTTGAAGGGTATTGAAATTTGGAAAAAAACTCTCTCTTGAAACTTTAATGAGGAGTGACTGAGGATCTAAAAAGTGGGACAGGATGAAGACAGATCTTTGTAGGATTTAACATCTAATAAAATACAACTTTTTTTCAAAACCCATTCCAAGTACATGAAGCCTATATCTGTTTGAAGGCTTAGCATGCAGGGTCAGAATCTATTATGATTTTTACGCTAAAGTTGTGCAACAGATATTGCAAAACAATTCTGAGAGTTTTCTATGCTGGGCCCAAATTCATTTTGTTGAATAAAATTCCTTTGATAAATAATTGGAAAAATATTAAGAATAGTTACCCATCCTGAAAGACTGTGGGTGAAGCACTAGGGTCATCTGATTTGACAAACTGAAAAGTGACAAACTTCATATCATCTACTGCCACACAGAAATCCTCGATCATCCCCATCTCATCGCCATAGCAACTGAGTAATCCCTCGAACTGACAGAACACTCCTACTTCCTGTATCTGTCTCAGAAAGTCTTCATTTGAGATACAGGTGGTTACCTTGGTAACAAAACCACTGTACAAGTAAAACAAGAACTAACTTAACATCGTGCACATTTACAATGTAGCAGCATTGTCAACTACAAGTAAAACAAGAACTAACTTAACATCGTGCACATTTACAATGTAGCAGCACTGTCAACTACAAGTAAAACACGATCTAACAATATCATGTACATTTACAATGTAGCAGTGTTGTCAACTTTTCTGTGAGAGATAGACACATATAAAAGATAAAATAACTAAAACATACAGCATGAGAAAAGCACACATCTCTTCGATATCTCACAATATGCATCAGCCTGGAATTTCCACGGTTTTCCTGAAAAGTTTAAAAGGATTTTAAAAGAATTATTATTTCATTAGCAGAGAAAAATTCATTTGATTATGCACTATGCACGTAAAATTTTATTTTAGAAATAAACAAAAAAGATACCTGTATATGTAGGAACATAACAATCAATAGAATTTTCTGATAGACAATTTCCAGAAAACTCTTAAGTTTGATAACAGCTGGGCTGATTTCATCCAGCCATTTTGTCCTGTCTGCAGATTCACTCTGCTTGAGCACGAGATCGTCAATAATTGAGATCAAACACATGGCAGCAGCCTCAGTATTCAGTCGGGTCATTTCCTGCAGGGAAATCAAAGTATTACTGGGTACAAACAACAGTACTGGGTCTATACACGGATTCTATAACTATATATCATCACAACAATTTTCAGAACTATCTCTTATTTTACTGGCTGGAAACCACACCCATGTTTTTCACACAACTAGTACCTTGCACCTTGTATATTGAAAAACAATATTCCTGATTAATAATTGTGAGGTTGTGCAGGAGCTTTACAAAAGCAGAAAATTAAAGGGGGAGGAAAACACTTTTCAGGGTGTAGTTTTACTTAAAATCAACTTGTTCACATATTCTGTAATTGTTATACATGTAAATGTATAACTTATATTTATACATGTATATATAATTAAATAAATTTTATTTTAGGTATAATTAATAAATTTGAAAATAGTTCCTCATATATTGCCTGACTTTTACAAGACAAGCTTTGCGTTACAAAATATTACAACTAAAATTTAAGATAAGAATTACCCAGGGTTCAGCGATGGAGCTCTTGACAAAGTCTGTGCCGGACCACTTCCAGTTGGTTCCTCGCTTGATTCCCCCATTAGACATGCCGTCCTTAGTTGTGTCCCCTGAATTAGAGTTTTCACAATTCTGGGACATTTCTATTTTAATTCTGTTGTATTCATCTGCCGTGTTTTGGACTAATGGTGTCTCACATTTCTCCACCAGTTTTCTAATCTGTAATAATTTTGATGAATTATATATTGAATTAAAATCCTTGCTTTATTATTGTAGGTTGATATGAAGCAATATTGAATTATAGATGAATACTATAGAATATGGCATTCACGAACTTTCATATATTACGACACAACATTAATTTAATAAGAATTATTTTGCTTGTGACAAAACATACTGGATACCAACCTTCTTTTGTAGCTAATTTCATTTGAGATTTTGTCATTTAAACACAAATAATGACCTTTAGAGGAATTTTTTAAAACTATTTCTTAATCCTAGCTTTACAAGCAAAATACAAACTCAGTGTGACAAATAAAAGATAAAAGTCTTGCGACATTATATTGTGATGGGTACCTTTTTCTGTAGAGAATCTGCCACCGCTGTCAGGTCCTCTGCTGCTCCATTCACTGTCACCTTACACAATCTATCACAGTCCTTAGATATGCTCATTTTGAGGTCATATATTTGGTTCACTAGATCACAGGCCACTGAGAGGTTCGTCACCGTGTCGTTCTCCGTGGAGTACGATTCCTGTAGCTGAGTCAGCAGACGACTTAGGCCGCCATGTTTATATTTCTGAGCGTATGCCGTGAAAGCCCCAACAGTGATCACATCATACCAACCAGCTGTTCACAAAAAGCAGAAAATAAAATTTAATAAATTTTCTTACACTTTCATTTAAAAAGCAGAAAATAAAATTTAATAAATTTTCTTACACTTTCATTTAAAAATCCAATAATCAGTCTTTATCATTCATTAATTTATGGTGAGTTATTCATGCATTAATAAGAGTACAAATGAGTACACCTAAAATAATGACAGATAAATTATAATAACTGATGAGTTCTGGAAATTTAAAAAAAAAGTTCTTACTGGTATTTTTTTCTTCATTGATCACAGTCATTCTTTGCAGATGGAGATTCAAGGGAACAAACTCCAGCTCTTTATCACCTTTCATGGTGCTCGCTTTAAAGCAGGGTCCTAATAAATAAAATGCACAGATTGATGAAATAAATCAAGCATCCAGAGTATTTTTCTTTCTCTAGTTTTGGTTACAAATTTTAAATAATAAGGAAAACATAGCATTTTTAGAATTAAAAATTATGATTGACTTGTTCAAATTCAAAATTTCTTTGGGAAATCACTTATTTCATCAAATAGGCTACACACAGGTAATGAAAAGACTGCAAACCTCATTTCAACAAAAGAAATGTGTAAGTCAAACTTTCTCACATCAAACAAATGTTCTAGTTGTGTGCATCCTCAGATCAACACATCAGACTTAATCCATGCAAGTTAAGTAACATCAAGGGTTATAGATACTTGGGTAACTTGGACCTATTCCAAAAAACTTTTTAACTGGTTACTCATCCAAAAAAATATACTGTAGATCTGATGCAGTACAAGAACCATGCCTGATAGTGAGTATCTCATTCAGATTGGGTCCATGTTAAGGGATATAGCTGTTTGGGAATGGACCAGCTCCAAAATCTTTATAAATTGGTCATTCTTAGTCCATGCAACTTCAGTTATGATATGAATTAAAGTTCCTTGGAACTGGACCTGCCCTTAAAACCTTAACCTTATCATCCAGCATCTGAAGCAGGTCTGTTGGTCTATAACCCTAGATGCATCATCATTGCTACTTTGTGACATCAAGGTTTGTAGTTAATTCAAATCAGGAGAAAAGCAACCACAGACATCCAACAAGATCAGATATAGGATCAGATGCCATGGAGGAGTAAGCATCCTCTAACAACTGGTCAAATCCACCGTGTGCTTTTGGGGGGTATAGCTTAAGCTTATCTCAGCTTCAGCATCTTTTGTTGAAGACAGTTATTTTTTCAACACAAATGGTAACTGGGTTGGAGGCAATAGTATATTCTTTAATCCAAAATGAAATGAATTTTTGAATTTGAACTATCTTCAAAACACGAAACGCACTTCATTACAAGGTACTTCTTTTTGTACAATATAGACTTTAAAAAGGTTTTCTATTTCTCTTCAAATAATACATGCACTAATAAAAATATATATACATTGTACTTAAACATATATGAAGTATACCAGCTACCAAGTAAATAATATTGATTAGCCAAGCTACATAAGTAAAGTTAATATAAGGTTAATAGGTTAGCAGAGAGAGAATGTCACCTTTGGATTTAAGGGATGTGAGATGCTGTTGATACATTGTTATCATGCTCATACAATAGTCCAGTCTGTCCTGTAAGGCTCGTAGTCGGGTGTGGCCAAACATCTACACACAACAGATAATTAACTGTACTCACTAGCAATCATGAGAAGTTTTTTTTACAATAAATCTAGTTGTTCATATTTAAAATGTGCAACACATAAGATTATCTACCATAACTGTGCTTTGTCTATCGTCAACTGTAGTGAAAAATTTTTCTCAGGTGGTATAAATGTCGTATTTTACAGCTATCCATTTAACTTAAAATGTAATGCAAACTTATATAAGCCTCCTGTCAGTTAAGTCAATTACTAGTATGAAGTATGTTAACAAACCACTACATGCTATCCCATACCGGGGTATATTTCAATGCTATCAATAAACCAAGCAATTTCAATTATCAATATTATCATATTCAATTAACTCCTAGCAGAAAGACATTCTGGTTATGTAAACACTGAAGAGGGTTATAGAACATTAAACTTAGGTCACAATCAATCACCAGTCCTAGTAATGATTAATGTACAGTCATAAACATTCCTCAGGAAGTTATACATGTTAAGGAGAGGAACTCTTCTATTTAGGAGGTTATATACTCAGAGGAAGTGAGACTATAAGTAGGTTATGCTCGGGGCACCTTGGTGACTGCTCAGTCTGTTGAGCGAGTCAGTATAGTTGGAGACAATGGCAGCTGATACAGTTATCATAGCGATCTGCTCACTCTCGTATTCCTGGGGAAGCTACAATGAATAGCCAATGTCATTAAAACAAGTAAATACTTATAGTGATAACCATGTCATGTTATCACCTTTAGTGATTATGTAGTCATTACATTTCAGCTCAATCTGTTGGACATTTGAATCTTTTGTAACCTCACTGGTCATTCTATTGTAACCTTGTTGGTCAAACAACTACATACACTGTAGTCTTAAAGGTATAATGTATACATATAAACTAGCTAACATTCCAAGACTTACCAGAATAAACATGAGAATATTTTTCTATGCCTTAATAAATGAACTATGTAAAATATGTGTATGCTATTTGTATAATGTAGAAAAAGACGGATCACAAAAACTTCAGTAAAAACAGAATCTTACTTCACATATTTTATCAATCATCCCCAAGATGTTGGAATAAAACATAATTGTTTTCATCCTAATTTTTATCATCAGTTGAATCATTGTTGTTATGATTAAGTGAGGAACCTTATTATTCAATCTGTTCATATAAAGTAATTATTGACTTATTTATTTACCAGCCCCTTGGGTTCAGGGGTTTCTTCCTGAGTACTTATCTAGCTTTACCACAATTAAACCATAACTATACATGCTTTTAGTGCATATGTAAGATTCAACAAACATAAGTCAAATTTTCACACTTCATGTAAATTTATGATAATTTACCTTTTAACTGTTGCTCATTGAGGCAAAATTTTTGCCGCAATCTGCCTATAATTTTAATTCTAGTTCTATGTCAGATAGTATACACACCTGACCTATATCCTGAAGCTGGGACAAAACATGCTTTTCTTCTTCAATCCATAACTTCCTGTCCAAAAAATAATAATGGTTTCTTATAATTGAAATATTATACAGGTTCAATCATGGGTGTCTAGTCAATATAGAACTTTGAAGTTCAAGGTAGAACATACCTACTCCTGCATTATACTTTTGATCAATAAATTAAAAAAATCTAAAAAGGGTTCAAATAATGAACTTTTTTTCTGCCACAGATTTTATGATTCCTTCAGCAGTAATGAAAATTCAATGAACCTAGCCTTACTTACAGAAGTTGCATTGGAATGTCAAAAGCAAACATGCTTTCTCCCATGTATTCATGCACCAGGAGTTTGACATCGCCTTTGGTTGTGTCAAATCGGAATGTACGAGTGATGATGTTCTTGTAATGTGGACGGAGGGTGTCGACACGTTTTGAGCGGCGCCGTACAATGGCAGGCTTTTTTGGACTTGTTTCTGACTCTGACTGTAAATAAATAAACGATTATTATTTTTACATTGTAAATATCCTGCTTATCAATAAACATAGGAGGACATGAGGGGATATGACTATAAAAATTAATAGAAAAAAATAAAACTCAATTGGAACAACTATGATGTTAATTTAAATTTAAATAAAAAATATCTGAATATCTTTATGTATTTTTTTTCCAACTACTTACTTACTTGTTGTGTTATTATCAAGACTCATTATTCAACAATTTTATAGTATTTAAATTTTTATTACAATGGGCACTAATAAAATTGTACTTTTCCAGAAACTATTCATTATTCAATTTGTGTGTACTTCATATAGTTTGAATCATGAAATAAGCCAAATTTAGTAAATGCAAATGCCAGTTACTTGCAACAAGGTGAGGTAATTAATTTTTATGTTAAAGGTGAGACTTTGGATATTTTATGGCAGGTAAGGGAGTTAGTTCCAAAAAAATCCTTATTAGTTAAAAAGTGTTACCTCTCTTTTCTCATTCAATCTACTCATCTGTTCCAACCAAATAACAATCAAAATCCCAAAATAGAATTGAACAGTACAAAATAATCCAGACAAGCAAAAACAGGCAAATTACTGATGGACAGACAGACAGACTTATAGGTATTTACCGGTAGGTTAATATTTTCATTTATCTACTTGTTTGCTCTGTGATAACTCTGAGAAAGTTAATTAATAGGTGAGCTGATTTTATGATAATTCTACCGGAATGTAAATTTCAAAAGGTCAGGAGCTAAGGACCAAGGCCTAATGTGCATGTAGATCTCCTGTGGCTGTCTTTGTGTTTGATGTCAATTAGACAATATATTTTAAATCTATATTTACAATTTTATTTCTCAATGAAATGTATAGTAATTACAGTCTATTTTGTTGGGAATGCCAGGGAAATCAAAGACAGTTGAAAACAAGGTATAATTTATGATACATGTAATGGGCTTCTGGATTAAGGACAGTGATTCCTCAAATATTGTAGTACTGTAGATTCCTAATTATGCATGAGGAATTAATTATCACGTAATTTCGCGATAATAATAAAAATAAAATAAAAATGCTCGCTTTTATTTTTAAGGTTCTAAAATCTATGGAAAATTTCTTTATCAACCATCCATTTGCGAATACTTATTCTTGCGATTTGACATTCAAGAGTCATCTCGCAATAACAAGTACTAGCAAAAAATAAGGAATTTACAGTACCTCTCCATTCCTGAAACACAATAAAGCCAAGGCCCAGAAGGGAATTACAATGGAGGGAATTCAGAATTCCTAAGGGGGTCAAATTATTAAATCTAACAGTTTTACTGCTGTTCACAATATCTGTAATGGTTAGGGCCGTGGATATCGGCCTGGATAGCTCAGTTGGTAGAGCACCTGACTAGAGATACAGGGGTCCCGGGTTCGATTCCCGGACCAGCCATACATTTTCTCCTTTCCTGTTACAGATTTGGTGCCGTTGACCACCCCTGGAATTGCAGGTGAAAGTCCTGCCAGGGGCAATAAGAACTTGGGTTGTGTCTTCGAGGTCGAAGACAATTTAAGGAGGGAGGAATGTAATGGGTTCGGGCCGAGGATATCGGCCTGGATAGCTCAATCGGTAGTGATACAGGGGTCCCGGGTTCGATTCCCGGTCCAGCCATGCATTTTCTCCTTTCCTGTTACAGATTTGGTGCCGTGCCATGCCCTGGAATTGACAGGTGAAAGACCTGCCAGGGATGAGCCTGGGTTGGGGCCTTTGGAGGGCCAAAGACCTTTAAGGAGGGAGGAATGTAATGGTTAGGGCCGTGGATATCGGCCTGGATAGCTCAGTTGGTAGAGCACCTGACTAGAGATACAGGGTCAAATTATTAAATCTGGCAGTTTTACTGCTGTTCACAATTTCAAAGCATAAGATCTTCAGTTAATGCATGAATTGATTTTCCTAGCTATAAGCTAATTCAGTGATCATCCTGAAATGTCAGCTGTCAATTCCTGCCCTTGGTCATCAAAACTCAGCCAGAATGACAGAAACTCAATTCAATGTCATACACATATGTCATACTTTATAATTGTCATTACCATTGTTAGTTTTCTAACTAAACTACTGTTTGAAGGAGGCAGTGAGAGGTCTCTAGCTCGGTTTTCAATATCAAGAGGCTGATGGTTTGAACTGAAGTGAGGCTAATCAATGCTGCACTTTAAACAATACATAGAAGTTTTACAGATTTAACCCATCATCCAGTTATATCAAGTGATTTAAGACCAATTTCAGGCTATTTTCAAACTACTTCCCTTGTCTGAAAAGTGACAATGTTTGATGATGTTATGGTGCACCGGATAACAGCTAATTTGTATGTAGATTTAGGAATAATGCTTGTACAGACTATTAATGGTCATAATAAAGCAACAAAAAAAATCTGAATATCACTAGATCTTTCATATCAAAATGGCATGGTGAACTTTTAAGAGGAAATTAGGGCATGGAGATTTGTAAATGACAAAACCATAGGAACAAACAGATACTGGCAGTAGCAATTCAGATCTTATCAGTAGAATATTTCAAAGGTACACGTATATTAACACATATATATATTATCAAAGCAAACTTTGTATATGAGGATATGTATTTTATTAATGAATAATATATTAAAGGGTAGAAAAAATTGAGAATGCAGCATTGATTTGTTTCATTATTTTTACTCTAAACTACTTCGACTTGTCCATGATTTTACAAGATAATTCTACACATTAATAAGTACCCCTAAATACGTACTTGTGATAAGGAGAGGTTTGTGTCATTTACCCAAGCCATGATAGTCACAGTTCCACAACCTAGCTGGTCAGGCCCTCTGAAAATAAATAACATATCACATTACAGTAATACAAAATATGGACAACAGAAAATCATATTTTCTTTTCTGTGATTATGCAAAATAATGAAATATAAGATCTTATCTCCCTTGCTGGAAAACACAAATTTGGATTTCACTTGATTAGTATCCATTAAACCCATTAAGATGATATATTTTATATAAAATACAATTATATTCCATATCTAATAAAATATAACTTAATACTGGTATTTCAATCATCTCCTTTAATTATCAATGAATATGGTATATTAAAGACAGTAGTAACAGCTTTTTAATTTGGAAAAATGAAATCAACAAGTACATTATGTACTAAATCAAATGATTAAAGAATTTTTTTATATAAAATTTTTATTTCAGAAAGTTTCCTTATAGTCGGGATACAAACACACATAAAAACACACAAAAACTAATCATCTGGATTAAATATAAATGATGTGTGAAATAGTGGGACATAAAAAGAAATTGTTTCCCCCGCATAAAAAATAAAAATTGCCATCATAGAATCAATTTACGATTTCAATCATGGTAATAGAGATATACTTTATATTAGGGCTGGGTATTGGCCCGAAATTTCGTATTGCGATATATTGCGATATTTGTAACTGTATTGCGATATGTATTGCAATATTTCCAATGTAATTTAAATGGCATTTTCTTACTAAATTTACTTTAATTTACATGCAGAATTTACATACCTTTAATAGGTAACCAACACTGACAAAAAAATTGTTGGTTTTATTAAAGTTATGCTCAGAAATGTTTCCACAAAACAACTTCTGTCGTACTGTTTGGCTTAATAACAAACTTTCATAAGTCCATTTTTATATTTAATGACAAAATTCCTTAATCTAAGCATATTGCCAATATATCGATATTATAAAATCGTATTGCGATACGATATTTTTTGTCATCGTATTGCAATATATTGAAATATCGATATTATTGCCCAGCCCTACTTTATATTCACCATAAACTATCAGAATGGGGGAACTGAGGAAATTAATGCAGCACTGGTTCTGTGTGAGTTTAGATGTACTAATGGATCTCCGTTCCACCGGGTTATTCAGTCTGATAGAAGTGAGGCAGAACTACTGAACTCGACCACAGATACTGCTTATAAAGGCATACTTTTGACTACAGAGCAGTCTATTTTACTTTGCATTAACATTTCCTTAACCTACAGAAATGGCATGTTTATTGCTGTAGAGGCAAAATAACACACTTCTATCATAAATATAGCTAGTAAGATCCATTAGCAAGCACTACATCTTAATACAGGTATGACTCCAATACTTTATTTGACACTACTACGGAAATATACAATCTCTATGAAGATCAATCTCAGTTGCTTTATTTAAATATGAATTCATGTGTGTACACAAAATAAGAAATGTGAAATTGATTGTTGGTTGTTAGTTTCAGATGTAAGTTTGTATTATTATAGACATCCCCTCCTGAGGTTGTTGGAGAGACTGTGAGAAAACAATGTGTCAGGGGAACACAAGGTAACAGCAAAATCACACCAATTATCTACAGCGGAAATAATCCCAAAACCCACAGCAATTAAAGCTAGAAAAGTGACAGAAATAGGTACAACTTTACCGTTCAGAGGACACAGGAATCCCCATGTTGTGTAGGAAATCACTCTCACTGTGTTTATATACAAAGAAATATAGTTATTGTGTCTTTGTTCAAAGCATTCTGTCAGCTAGCATTCAAAAAATATCCCCATATTGTTGACAAGCGTGATACTATGTCCCAAAATAAATGGCAAAGTATTTTATAAATGGCCCATATTGAGGAACTTTATTCTTCAGCTTATCTTTAGCAATGGAATAAATTTAACTGGACATTTAAATCATGAACTGAGGTTTAACTTTATTATTCATTGTGACTGTGTCATAACTACCTATCCATTTACCTATTTAAATCCATTCATATGAATATGCATGCATTATTGTATAAATTCTTCTCTTACTCTCTCTCCCATCTTATTTTAAACATATTAAATACCTGCCTCTGTATTCATACTCTGCACTATATAAAACAACCCCCTCAATGGGAAGCCCTCAATTATGAATTTTTACAGTCAAACCTCATTGTCTTGAACTGGGACCAGGAATAAACTTAAAGATAGCTAAGGGTTAGAGATATCGAGTCAGAGTAAAATACTTCAGAAACAACATGGTTAAAAGACTTCCTTCTCACTTCCACATGTACATCCATGGTATTTGAGATATCTGTTTCAGATACCGAAGTTCAACAGTACAATAATTATCGGGGCTACTGTAATTCATCAGCTCTATTTATTAATTTCTTTCTGATAGTTTTTCAATCAAAAATGTTCAAACGAGCATTTACTGCATACAGGGAAATAAGTTTTACCCCATTTGATTTTTGCTTTTCTTGCATAAATGGCAAGAACTCAAAAAAAGACATCATTATCTTAATTGTTACTTGAATTATTCCAAGTTTCCAATTAGCATTTCATGCCCTGGCATACTCTACAAATTAAGTGAACAATGATTCCTCAAATATTCCAAAACAATACATAAAATAATGTTAAAATGAATTACTACATACCACATATTATACAGAAAATCTCTGAATGACACTTCATATATTTCTTACAAACAGTAAGAATCCATGTATTTATTCATTATGTTCAATTGTTTATAGACCTGAGAGGTAAGACTGTAAGTAATATAGAAGTGTATGATAATATACGTTTCCACCCCTACGCATACATCAGAGGAAATCCTGCTCTCCATTGTTCAATCTGCAGTCATGACCTATATAAGATGATAGGATGTTTCTATTATAGAATATGGGATAAGATGTGAAAAACAATGTGTCTGAATATTACTTAGCACATTTGATGCCTATATTTTCACACCAGGATATTTTTTTTAATTTGTCAGTAGAATAGCATCCAGCATATGATTAGCTTCTACAATTCATCAACTTAGAAGTTCTTATAAAGATCTGTCTTTTTTTATTTAGTTGAAGCATAAGTTTATTTCCATAAAGCATGTCTCATGTCCTGTCTAAAAGAGCTGACAGCCCCACATCAACAATTTAAACCTCATGACTATATTTATGCTACAGTTTTTCCAAAGTATGTCAAATTTCTAAGTCAAGAAAAAAGTAAAAAAAATATCTGCACCAAAAGGGAAGGTCTTATCTCAAGAAATATATATACATGTGAAGTATGAAACCATATAGCATAAACTAAAAAGTTAGCATGATTAAGGTTTGGTAAAATTTTGCAAAAGGCCAGCTAGACTCGAAGGTCAAAAGGTCAAATATGTTGGTTACCTACTAAGGAACAAATCAAAAGTTATGGGGAAGGTTTTTTTTTTGCAACAATAGTTTTTTGGGACACAACAAAAACTATGTGTCAACCAATCTTGGATTATAGGAGAATAAAACATCTGGGGGTATGCAATATCTTATATACCCCCCCCCCCCCTTTTACAATGAAAGTCTGATAGATGTATGCTTCATTCTAATTGGCTGAAACAGAAATCTCAATAGCTTGCTTAGTTTTGTCAAAATATTAAGAAATTTATCTTTAAAAATTATGTAAATGCATAAATTAAGGCTTTACATGTACAATAAAACACACACAAAGTTTCTTGAAAACATGTACTGCAATTTCATTGGCTGAAACTTGAAATGACCAAATCTTTCCTTGTTATCATAAAACATTTAGTTGAAACATGGCATTATTTCTCAAATAAGACAGCAATATTTGTCCTGCCTCCAAGACCATAAACTGAGAACAGACTTGAGTCAAAATTTTGATTTTTAATATCTTGAGTTTTATTTGATGTATTTGCATAAAAAGTTGCTATTTTGTTAAACATTTAAAATCAAATACTGGTAGTAAATGATACAAATTTGTTTGATTATTGAAATCTTTTTTATAAGTTACATTGGTTTGACATTTTGATTTAAGTCTGTTCTCAGCTTATGGTCTTGGAGCCTGGTTTGTAATTTTGGGATAACAAAAGGTACTTAGTATTTTATAACTATGCTGCTGATTACCGCTGAAAAAATTTAGTCTTTATATATTAAATAATTTATGTACTCAAAGATAATGTTTTACAAGTTCAAGAATTAAATTTTTTAATGAATTTTAATAGTTTTCTTTTTATCGTATGTGTGCATCACTTGCTTTTTTAATGATTTAAAATCAAAAATAGATGTTATTTTAAAAACAAAATATTGACTGAAACCAGAATAAAACACCGGAGTTTTGATTTTAAATTGTCAATCAATTCTGGCAGAAAGTTGTTCCGACTTATAAGCGGGTCATTGGCAAATCCCTCCAAAATATCTCCTAAAAATACAACTGACTTAGAAATGAGCTTATACAGTGACACCCTTCATTATAACTAATATTTTGTACTGAGTAACCCTTAAAAAAATGTAAGTCTAACTTCCACAGAGTACAAGTACTGGGCACTTAACAACCTATGTGTCACTTATTACCATTAAATGCATTAAAGTGTTGTTCATTACGTAAGCCAGACATTCAGCAATAAAACATGAATGAAATGTTCAGAAGATGTTTAAAGTTTTTAAAAGTACAGGCCATGGCTTCTAATGTTTATCAAAATACAGAATTCATTAACCCATTTTTCCATAAAAAATCTTTGACCTATTTCAACTGTTTCACAAATCAAAATACAAAACAAACATCAATAAAGAGAATGGACATGTATATTTCAATATGTCTGTAATCTTATTTGAGATGAATAATACGCCTGTAGGATGATTCTGAACCTTTTTTGTTACTCTTTTGATGGAGATGTTGCATGCCAGGCCCGAGTTTATCAGACTGACTGTCACGTTAGTAGACACTAAGAATGAATTAGCAGCCAGTCCACACACAACTACTGCATCACCAGAGATCAATACAGATTAACAGTTCCACTGTATGGACTGGTTAGGGGCTCTGTTTAACAGCCGTGACCAGCAGGAAATAAAAAAAGATTCCCATCTATTTACCAGACTTATATTACTTTTTTGTGAAAGCTATGGTCTTGTATGTTGATTGTTACTTGTTTTTATTTTTCCCATTTGCCACATAACACATTGTTCCTATAGAAATATATTATACAAAATAAATAGACATGACTCATACCGTATAAGTGGAAATTTTAGCAAGACGCAAATTTAGGGATTTGTCCTTTAAGACTGGTATTTCATTTTTAGCGTGATGTAATTTCAGCAATTTAAAAATGCACACTAAACAATCTATTACAAATAAAATGCAATTAATTTTTAGCGCTATTAAATTTTAGCAATCTCGGTACCCACCCTAATAATGCCAAAATTAAATCCTCGCTAAAAATTCTGCTTATACGGTATTCATATAAAAATGTGTACTCATGAAATTGTTTGTGAAAGCTTAAGATTGACATGTTTAACAAGTTTAATTCATAATTCACCTCAAAATTAGAGCAAATTCCAGTTTACCATGTAAATGTCTTGATTACTGCACTAAATGCATTGACTTTCAAATTTTATTCCTAAAACCAGTTTCAATTCATAACTATAAATTCAGAATCCACATTTGGCAAACTCTTGAAAACTTATCTGACTAAAAGCAGAGGAATCAGATGAGGAAATTCAGTAAATGCCAATTATAATGAAGTACTAATAACAAGAAATTGGGATTCATAGTAAGCTTGATTGGTTTTATCATTACAAAATGATAATAATGCAAAACTTTATGGAATAAAAATTACTTTGCTATAAATGTGAATTGGCTATAAACTTGTTTGCTGTAACCATACAAAGTACACGCATCGTCCCCTGGTACCCTCTGTATCCAAGTTACCTTTTCTTTACATTAATTGTATGCTACCTTCAAGATCACAGATTTACATTTATACATGATAGTACCATTTGTTTATATATATATAAATATATTTGTGTGTAAATTATTATTTTTGTATGCATGGATATGTGTAACAATAAGTGTATGTTTATAATATATACTATACATACATATATTTGTATATAAATTATTATTTTTGTATGCATGGATTTGTGTAACAGTAAGTGTATGTTTGTGTATGTGGGTATGCATATGTCAAATATCTATTGAACTAACTCCAAGAGATTAGTTTGCATTAAGTTTATAATTATATGCTAAGTACTTATTAATTGAAATTACTATTTCTGTTAATACTTAAATGATTTTTTTTTTTTGAATGACCATCTTCAATACTTAGGGTACAGGTTTGCCAGACTGGCTGTGTAGAGGTATCATCCCCTGGTGCCCTTTGTATTCAAGATGCACTAGTTTTATATTAGAGTACTGCCATTACTACAAGATTTTTTCTTTTTTTTTTTTAATTTACCTTATATCTATCATTTTTATTTAATTGTGTTTTCTTTTATCATTCTATGGTTTCTATGCTTTTGATCCATTGTGGTGATGCACTTCTCAATGTCAAACTTAATCACTAGTCATGTTACATTATCCTTAATATAGAATTGTAATCAATGTTATCATTTTGTAATAATTGTTCATGCCCCCCGTGGGCCCTTGATTGGTGAATAAACATAATATATTGTACCAGGGCTGTTTGTTATTATCTTAGTCACATTAAAACTTCATGACAAAAAAGTGTTATCATAAGTACAGACCTGCCTACCCTTTTCATTGCAAGGGTGTAATTTCAGTACATTTTTGGGTGGAATTTCAGATGTAAAAGCGTAATCAATCATGTCCTATTTTTTTTACTATAATACTTTTTTTCGAAACAACTGAAATTGTACATTACTAAACAAAGCTGGTATAAACCTTTCTTAATTTTCCGAATCATCTGTTGGCAAAAAAGTGTTGTAAAATTCCAGTATCCTATATCAAACTCAATTCAACCATACACCTTTCATGGAGCATTCGATCAATTTGTATCAAATCACTTAATTGAAGGCTTGTGTTTGAATGTTAAAACAGATCGTACATTATAACATTGTGTTTTATCTTTTTTACACTCACATTTCTCTATCTTGTGCTAAGCAATGTTAAAATAAACTTAATTGAGCATAAAACGTTTTTCAATATTGTTTAATACATGTAGTTAACGTAAGTAGTGCCTTCTCGTCTTCTTCCGAATCTTCGCCATACCAGTTTACATGTAACTACTAGTTATATTATGTACATTATCGAACTAGTCCTCTTTGAATTACTTTTATAAGAACTTCTCATTTCATTTCTCTAAATTTAGACGTTCATAATGGAATTTTAACCAAATTATCAAAAGCGTAAAATTAATATAAGTGGCGTAATAGCGTAATTTTGTGGTAAAAAGTTGAAGAAATACGCCAAAAGTGAAAGGGTAGGCAGGTCTGTAAGTAACATATGACTGATTTTCTAATAACCCCAAAAGAAAAAAATCCATGCTTATAAATGTACAATGTATGGACAAGAAAATTTCAAGTCATTTTCACATGGGCCAAAATTTGATGTGAAAATACATGTATAAGACTTCTGTCTCAATCTACCCTCAGCAAATATGGATTAAGTCTTGTTAATAATCATAAATATGTTACTTACAATAGCCTGAGTGTTGTTTTCATATCTACACTCATCAAAACGTCTTGTAAAGTGAAAATGGCATGGCCTAATTGGGACATCTATAAACACAAAAACAACTTCATGAATATATAATAATGAAATTTGGCAATTCTTGACATTAATTTCAAGTGAAGAAATAAAATTAGATCATTTGGGAGGTCTGTGTTTTCTCAATCCTAATTCAATAATATGTATGGAAGGAGGGACAAAAAAACACAGCATATCCTATTACAAAAAGTCCAGAGGTAGCTTTGTCAGAAAATTATCATCTAAAGTATCCCTTTGGGTAATCAGCTATGTAGATGTACACTCACCCTAAATTCAATAAATTCAATGAAAAATGGTGACTGAAGAATATGTGGACAAAAATGTGATAATGCTCTCAAGAGAGAATACCAATAGTAGAACTGGGATGAAGTAATCCTTAATACTGTATACCTGCATCTCTGACTCCAGAAAATCAGTCTTTTAATTTCTTTTTCATGTCTTCACTCTACGTTATATGAAGCAGAAATATAGATTTACTGGGCACAACTGATTGTAAATTGTTGTTAATGCTCCTTAGTGAAGCATAAAAACCAGAAAATGGATAGGTCTAAAAGTTTATCCCAGCATTTATGATTAGAATAAAAATGTGGCCAACAGATGATGTGAGCTTGGTGAAGGCAAAAGATTAGTAAAATCTGCTTGTTTTTTATTTCCTCCAGAGATATAGATGTCTTGGGGCTAACAAGGGAAGGATTTACATGTATCTCTAATCTAGAATATATTTTTGATTTATATTTACTTTGTTGAACAACAACTGACACATAAAATATACATATATATACAGCCCTAGCAGTGTAAATTGGAGAAACACATGTACTTCTCTTACCTTACCTAAAAAAGTAGGGCTATTTACAACAGTTATAAGGAATGTTTCTTGTGAAATTAGTACAAAAATATGTTAGAAACACATGGTTATGGTATTGTTTTGAGATATCGATTTGAAAAACACAGGGAAATAAATCGAGATGTAGCACACTATTTGTGCACTGAAATATACTTTTTTCAATGGGTGGCACTGTAGCTCTTCAGTCTGTCAATATTTTTTTTGAAGAGCTACAGTTCTGCAGCTATGACATCAATATTTTTTTGATACAGCGTGATACTTACCGTGCCTGTTAGCCTCTCTTTGACGTTATACACCGTGATACTTACAGTGCCTGTCAGCCTCTCTTTGACGTGATACACTGTGATATTTACAGTGTCTGTTAGCCTCTCTTTGACATGATACTTACAGTGCCTTTTAGCCTCTCTTTGATACGATACACCGTGATACTTACAGTGCCTTTTAGCCTCTCTTTGACATGATACTCACAGTGCCTGTTAGCCTCTTTTTGACGTGATACACTGTGATACATAAAGTGCCTTTTAGCCACTCTTTGACGTGATACACTGTGATACATAAAAAGCCTTTTAGCCTCTCTTTGACGTGATACACCGTGATACTTACAGTGCCTTTTAGCCACTCTTTGACGTGATACACTGTGATATTTACAGTGTCTGTTAGCCTCTCTTTGACATGATACTTACAGTGCCTTTTAGCCTCTCTTTGATACGATACACCGTGATACTTACAGTGCCTTTTAGCCTCTCTTTGACATGATACTTACAGTGCCTGTTAGCCTCTCTTTGACGTGATACACTGTGATACATAAAGTGCCACTCTTTGACGTGATACACTGTGATACATAAAAAGCCTTTTAGCCTCTCTTTGATACGATACACCGTTATACTTACAGTGCCTTTTAGCCTCTCTTTGACGTGATACACCGTGATACTTACAGTGCCTTTTAGCCACTCTTTGACGTGATACACTGTGATACATAAAAAGCCTTTTAGCCTCTCTTTGATACGATACACCGTGATACTTACAATGCCTTTTAGCCTCTCTTTGCCATGATACACCATGATACTTATAATGCTTGTTAGCCTATCTATGACGTGATACACCATGATACCTACAGTGCCTGTTAGCCTCTCTTTGACATGATACACAGTGATCTTCACACGCATAGTCGTATCAACTCCATCCTTGTCCCCAAATCCAATCGTCTTCAGAAATTGGGGCTTATTATTGGCCTGGTAAAACAAATATAAGACCCTCATAAAAAAAAGTGGAGTGTTTCAAGGATCATAAAAAATCTAGAATATGAAGAATAAGATTGTTTTAAAATTGGATTTATCTCTCATAAAAATCTTGAAAGAAAGTATGTATGTTAGTCTAATTCACATTGAAAGGAACAGTGTATATTATGATTATTATCATTAGGAAGTAATGATCACAGATCAAAGCATTGCTTTTATTTATAGTCGTCACAAATACTTTATGTAGTTGTAAAATGTAGTTGTAAATGTTTTCACAATTTATGGAATTATAAGGTACATTAAGATAATTGTGATAAAATTACTGTGTATATACTTACTTCTACAACCTCTGTATTGCTGTGCTGGATCCAGGTCTGCTGGGGTGGCACTATTGTACTCAGCACAATAAAGGGATTGGGAGGCTGTCCACTGATGTCATTGGGTAGGTCCGTACAGGCTAATGTACAATAATATGAAAAAAAGTCATCAATGGGCATATATGTAAAGGCTTCTATATAATAACAAAAAAAAATATCGATGGGCAGATCATACAGGCTGAGGTGTAATACAAGTAATACAAATTGTCATCAATGAGCATTTTGCATTGGCTCTTGGATAAATAAACATCAAAGATATTGAAAATTAGACCATACAGGCTAGGGCATAACAAAAGTAATAGGGAAAAAAATCATTAGATTTGTACAAGTAAATGTATTAAAAGAGATTGGTACTGTCTGATGTCCAATGTATTAGGAAACTGGTACCTGCTAATGTTTTATATTAATTTATGTAGTCAACTGCCCTTTTAGTGGCACATGTAATAATAAGGATTTCATTCAAAGACGACTTACAAAGGCAGATCTCCAGAGCAGGGTCGTCATTAGCATTGCCTGTAAATTAAATTTATAAACAAACATAATCATCTTAACTGTATTCCATCTCACTTAATATGGCAATGAATGAAAATTTCAGCAACATCATGATGACTTGTAACAGTACCTGACTGGGTTTCAAACTCCATGCCAAATTCTGTGGGTGGGGGTTGAGTGATGGGGTCCCTCCCGGTTTTGGCCTGAATCTGTTCTCGTAGACTCTGGAGCTGCATCTTCAGGCACTCATAGCTGGCTGTGTGGATCTTCTGGATCCAATCATCCCTCTCTTCTTCTGAGGCCGCCTGGAACTTATATGTGTGCTCCTCTCCCTCATAAACTAAGAGTCAAAGATGTTTATTTATAATAGAGAAAAAGACAATAATACACAGGTAACAAAGTGGTATTAGAAAAAATATGGATTCGTTGATGAATGTTTATGTGGAGAACTACTTTAACCTATTCTATCATAAGTAATCTTTCTAGTTCATTGATCACCTGTTTTGTGGTTTGACACAATCACAATAAAAAAAATGGAATTCAACAGTACACAGTAATTCAGTGTCACCACACAATAGATTACCTAAAAGAAATCCAAAGTCTACAGATGCCAGGTCCAATTCTACGGTACATCTCTCTATAACCAGAACTCCAACAGGGGGTTCACTGGACTAAAAATACAGAATAAATCTATAATACACTATAACAGACTACTGTAAACCAACTAGTATTCACAACATCCTTTATTTCCAATTTGTCACATTGAATTCCATAAAACCTGTGCCTAGGGAAACAATAAATACAAATACTCAGGTAGATTATTGGTTTGCAACAAGAAATATTCACTATGTACAGGAATAAAACTTGATTTACAATTGAAAATTGTCTTTGACCCATTCATCATGTTAATAAATACGATATCTAATAAAATTCCTATCTACAAATTTATCTTTGACTCATAAAAACTAAGATATATCTGATAAAATCCTCACCACAGATTTGTCTTTGTCTTTGAAATAAAATAGCAGGTTTCCTTTCAATCTCAGATATCGCTTCTGATATTCTACGGAAGAAAAGACATAATTAGTGTGTCTGCCTTTTTCCAGCAATTTCTATATAATCAAATAAAATTCTGTATTACAAGATATAGATTAGGCCAAAAAAAATAATAGTCTTGTTTCCTGCTACCAGCCTGAAAAAAATAGGGTAGGTAGGTCGGAAAATTATTTTAGTTTTTTATTTTATTTTTTTCCAATGGTATTTGTTGGATATGAACTATTACAAACCAAATTAAACATGCTCAATATTATCGTTTAAAATAAGTAGTGTTTCATGCAAGTCCAAATTTAAAACATATATATTTCATGAAATACCACTTGAATGTATATTTTTTTCACTTCTGGAACATGAAATTTTCGATTTTCTCTCAAAAACTAAATAAAAACTTTAGGGTCGGGTGCAAAAAAATAGGGTAGGTCGGGTAGCAGGAAACAAGACTATTTTTATTTTTGGCCTTAAGAAAAACTTCTCTTTAAGAAATATTACATATACCACCTTGTATTCAGAAAATAAAATCCTTTTGAAAAATAGAAAAAAGTACAGCCAATCCTTGCTAAAACACACTGGGCCCGAGAAAAACTTTGAGATAATTAAGATACTGAAGGTATAATACTTAAATATCAAGCAGTTGGGACTTGAAAATTACTTCAACTGCATATATTGAGAAGTTCAAATGTATTTCAATTCATAAGTACATTTATTGACAAGAATCAATGAATTTTACACTCAATTTTGTACTTTAAATAAATCCATTTACATAAATAAAATTCCAGCATGACTAATTATTTTAAATCATGTATTCCCAGGAGTCTGCAATATGAACATCAAATGAATACAGTACTATTGTAGTATGTGACACTAAGTACAAAGCTATAATCTATTGATTTTGGTACATAACAAATCACATATGTCATATTAACTCTATATAAATTAAGTCTGGAAGGAATTGTACTTTCAACAACTGTATACCACGGGTATTAGAAAGAAAAAGTTACTAGTTAGACATTTTATTTACTCTTAGCAGTGAACTCAGACAATATTTAAATCTGGGCCAAAAGGATAATTCTGAAAGAAATGTTACACAGAACTTTATTAAAGGAAAACACTTTCAACAAAAGCTTGAAAGTTTCCGAAATGACATATACATGTAATTTTGAACTGTTCTCTAATTTTTTGGAAAAATTCATCACATTTTCCAGCTTCAAAATTCTGAATTCAAAAAGTTTAATGAATGAAATAAGACTTATCAGTTTTTCTTCTGTATAATTTCTGTATAATGAATGTTACTCTGAGCTCTACCTTTGTACACAGCATTTGTTGTCTATGTGCAAAACTATCATAGTATTCCTACCTTCTCCTTTCTTAAACAACCCATCCAACTTGTCCTTCATCAACAGAGGTCCCTCTTTGTCAAATGATCCTTCGTGAGCCAGATGAACCAATTCTTTATTGTTAAACCTCATGATGGTACCAGTACCAGGGTTTGGATAGAACTTCAGAATTTACATGCTCACATCACCTGTGATAAATTTTAATAAAAACATAAATACCCAAATATTACAAAGTTTATGAAAAAGGTTAAAGTTGGTTAAAATTCAGTTAAGGTTTACACAAATAGGTCAAAAGATAAGTCAATGAACAGGTATAAAATGCTGACACCAAAAGAAGGATCTTGTCACAAGGAATTCACTTGTGGAATATGTCCATGATGACTGAAGCAGACAATAATGAATATTTCTGTCAGCTTATCTCTCTTATCCACTGTTCTAGAGCTAGTGCAAATTCTTTATTTTCCTGAAACCTAGATTAAACACTGATTGATGAATATCATTAAAAAAATCAAACCTGAATACATGTCTAGTGAACAGTAAATCATTTTGACTCTGAATGGCGTCAAGGTTGACTGATATACATGTACTTCTGTCTGTGACTTATATTCACCAGTTTACTAAACTTTTTAAAGACAAGATACAAATATTTCACAATTCTTAATATTTGGATGAGTACCGGTAAATGAATTATAGCGAGGGCAGTGAGCTCAGTAGACTAACATGTAAGAACAGAAGAAATTCGGATTGAAATGTCAGGCAAAGTTTTGTGTGAAACCTTCCCAGAATTCCTTTGCTCCCATCGTTCAATGTGATAATCAATGAGAAATATAAAAAAAAAAAAGAAAGGAACATTGTTTCTTAACAAGAACTTAACGAAATAAGATTGCTTTACCTTATTAAAAAAAATATCCCCATACCACAACACCAACTTTCACCCTGCCCTTGGGAAATGATACAAATGCCCTCACCGGAAATTTACGAATTTTGATGATATCCTAATTAAGTTATGTCGGTTGTTTCCATGAAACTCGGAAAAATGTTGAAGATACAGAAAAAT